ATAATTAATTAATTAATTAATTAATTATCGATTTATCATCATTACCTTATTTAGACTTATTGCCATTATCTCTAACTCCTAATTGTAATTTCATTATCAATGTATCACATACATTCAGATTATTATCTTTCTTGTTACGCCGAAAGTGAAATAACGTACCTAACTGTTGACACTGCTAATTAATACAATGAAGCTTAAAATAGCGAAAGAAAATGTATGCCGATTGCAGTATTTTCATTAATAAAATAAATTTACTCCAGCTCGTTCATTTGGTTTGCGCGATAAGATTTATTTTCGTGCAGTCTTCTCCTTTTTCTTTTTTTTTTTTTTTTTTTTTTTTTTTTTTTTAATTGACAAACTTTGACGTAACAAAAATATTTTCGAAATCGGTCATGGCGAAGCTCCCGTAAACACATATACTCATATAAACAGATAAAATTACATTTTCGATTTTGTAGAGAATTTGAGTGCATCGTCCAAAGCATCAAGTAGAAGATCAACGTGACGGTAAGTAGAATTGTTTCCCATTAAACCAATTCGTAAAATTTTGCCGACAGTTGGACCAAGTCCACCGCTGATCTCAACGCCATATCTGGATCAATGATTTTTTCAAACGATCAATGATTTAATCCTTTAGAATGAAAAAAAAAAAGAAAAGAAATATATCTTACCTTTCCATAGCTCTGGCAGATAAACTTTTAACATCGATACCATCTGGTATCTCGATAGATACGATCGTAGATAATTGATATTTCGGATTTTTGACGTAAAGTCGAAATCGACGTTTCAAAAGTTCCTCTCGCAATTTAACAGCCACCGATGTGTGCCTGGACCAACGAGTACTTAAACCTTCCTCCGTTAATTCGGCCAAAGCTTCGCGTAATCCATAAATAAGTGTTGCACTAATCGTGTGATGATAAATCCTTGGATTGCCAAAACAATTCCAATAATCGCCTAATATCTTCATGTCCCAATAATATGTTGAAACTTTTGTACGCCTATTGAAAATCTTTTCACTGTAATTTGGATAATTTTCGAACGATTAATAAACGTTTCGAAGATAAATATTATATATATATATTTTTTTTTATAATTAATAAATAATTTCATGATCACGTACACTGCTAATGGACTAAACGATATTGGCGTTAGACCTGCCGGAGCACCGAGAACTTTTTGACTGCAGGCATAAACAGCATCGATCTTCCAAGCGTCTACAAATAATGGTTCACCACCTAATGACGCCACAGAATCGACGATTAACAACGAATTGTACCTAATATGTGTATGAAAGAGAAAGATAAAAAGAAGTTCTGTCAATATCCTCGACCAGAAATAATTAGAATTTGTTAAAGAAAGAAAGAAAAAAAAAAGAAACTAAAAGAATTTTATGAAATTCACCGATGAACGAGATTTCCTACACCTTCCAATGGTTGTTTCATACCAGTTGAAGATTCAGCGTGTACGACAAAAACTACGGCGGGTTTGAATCTTTTCAAAAATAATTCTAAAGTGTCGAGATCGAAACCAATTCCGTATTCGGTCGTCAGGAATTTAATCTATGAAATCAATTGTCCTGTTAATATCTACTTAATAATTCTTTCTTTTTTTTTTGTTTGCTTTTCCTTTTTTCTTTTTCGGATATTCTAATGCGTTCGAAAATGTTCGTACGTCTGCACCAAGACGATTCGCCATATTGGCGGCACGTTCACCCCAAATTCCACATTTAGCAATCAACACTGTTTCTCCTGGCTCGATTAAATTTCCCAAGCATGCCTCCATACCACCATGAGCCGCTGTACTCAGTGCCAAAGTTAATTCGTTTTTTGTTTGAAATGCGTATTGAATTCCCGACTTGATGTCGTCCATTAACTGAAAATTTATCGTATATTTTACACGATTTTCTTCTTCTTCTTTTTTTTTTTTTTATAAATACCTTAAACATTTCCGGATGAAGATGACCTATCACCTGATGTTCTAATGATCGTAAAACTCTTTGCGAACAATTACTTGGTCCAGGTCCCATTAATATTTTTTGCGGGATCTCTAATGGCTTTAAAAGTTCCTTAGGCGGATCCACTTCCATTTTTAATGAGCACTATTATTTTAATGTCACTTTGATCAAATTATATTCAGTATTGAATGTAGCACAAACAAGCTACATAAGCTCTTATCTTTTAGGGGGGAAAGAGAATGTATTGCTTATCGGGATTTATAAATAAGATTTATCAGACAGACTAGTTTTTACGTAATACACACATACAGACACATATATATATATATGTTAATCTTGAATGAACTCTTTTTTTTTAAGAATTTGAAAAAACTTAATTTTCTTTAAAAAGTAAAACTTGAGTAAAGAATATTTGATAAAGATTCCTATCTTACCGACTAAGTAACATAATTGTAATAGCAGATTTCTGTTTCATTGACCGTCGGTAACATATCGATAACATATCGATAACAGTAGATTCCTATTTTATTCTCGCGTTATGTGATCCTGATACAATACTCGATTCGCGGGAAAAACTTTCGCTTCGTCTAGAATTTGAAATTTCGAATAGAAGAGTATAATTTATTAGAAGTTAATACTTTTTCCCAGTATCACGTGATAAGATTCAAAACTTAATTCGTGAAAAATGATTTCGAATTGTCTAAAATTTGAAACAGAAAAGAACAATTTTTTTTTTTTGATAAAAAAAAAGCATCATTGGTTTTCTTTTTTCGTTATAACATTTTCGCTTTCGTTTTATATGTCGTTTAAAATTTCTTTCATTGCGTAAACTCTAAAAAGAAAAAAAAAACATCTGCAAAAAACTTTTTTTTTGTAGGTTAACTTTCTCACGAGATATTCCAATTTTAAACGAGACACTCTATATATGTAGTATCAATCTAACAAATACGTAAAAAAAAAAAAAAGTATCTTATCGCTTATTTCATTTATCAATTGTTAATTTTTTGTTTAGTGCACGTACAGTATATAAAGAAATAATTGATTGATAACTCGTTATATTGATTAATAACTAGCTAAAAGTTGTGTTAAACAGTGTGAAATAATGAAAAAAATACTTTTCTGTTATATAAAGTAATATATTTTCTTCAATGTAACATTGACATGTTATTATATTATATTTTTAAATTGACTATTGACAATCCGATACGACTTAACCTAATTTAATCGAATATCGACGATTATGTAACTCAAGTTACAGTATTTTTTGTAAATGTAAATGATTTTTTATTTATACGTTCAAATAGCATTTGTAAATGAAATTGATAAATATATATAAAAAAAATCAGTAGGAATATTATCGTTATTCTTTAAAAATATACATATATATATATTATCATGCAAGTTCTAACATTTTTTCTTTATATTACACTTTTGTGGAACATTCTTGTTCTATGTGGATCTTCAGAAGATCATTATTTCGTGATAAAAGCTGATAATAAGAAAGAACGTGATTTATTAAGAAATCGCAATTTAAATCAATTCAAATACGATCCTACCTGGGAGAGTTTAGATGCACGGCCACTTCCTGATTGGTACGACAATGCCAAATTTGGTATATTTATTCATTGGGGAGTATTCAGCGTTCCCAGTTTTGGTTCCGAATGGTTTTGGAATAATTGGAAAGGTATAATACGTTTGCTTGTTAACACCAACAAAATGATCAAACATATATTATATATAAATTTGTCTTTTTTATTGTAGAAGAAACCGGTACTAAATATCATGATTTCATGAAGGATCGATATCCTCCTAATTACACTTATCAAGATTTTGCACGTGACTTTACTGCAGAATTTTTTAATGCATCTCAATGGAGCGAAATATTTCAAGCTTCTGGCGCAAAATATGTTGTATTAACTAGTAAACATCACGAAGGATATACATTGTGGCCATCGAAATATTCCTTCAGTTGGAATTCCATGGACGTAGGACCACAAAAAAATCTCATAGGTATTAAACACAAATATTTATTTATATATGAATTAAATTCTAATTGATTTTTATTTGGACCATAGGTGAATTGGCAGCAGCAATAAGATCATCTACCGACATCAAGTTTGGATTATATCATTCTTTATATGAGTGGTATAATCCAATGTATCTTGCAGACAAAAGAAATAATTTTACAACGGATCATTTTGTTACACAAAAAATAATTCCAGAAATGCACGAGCTTATTGAAATGTTCGAGCCAGAAGTTATTTGGTCGGACGGCGATTGGGAGGCTACGGATTCTTATTGGAAATCAAAAGAATTTTTATCTTGGTTATATAATGATAGTCCTGTCAAAAATACAGTAGTTGTAAATGATAGATGGGGAACAAATATTCCATGTCATCATGGGGATTTTTACACTTGCACAGATCGTTATAATCCTGGTATAACTTTTTTTTTTTTTTTATATACCAGTTAGATATAATTTTTTTTTTTTTTTTTTTTTTTTTTTTTCTATAGAAACATTAAGATAAATTTTTGTTATTACTTTGAATTATTTTCAGGAATACTTTTACCACATAAGTGGGAGAATTGTATGACCATTGATAAAAAGTCTTGGGGCTTTCGTAGAAATGCTCCCTTGAATGAATATTTTACACTTAACGAATTAATAAAAGAATTGGTAACTACAGTAAGCTGCGGTGGAAATTTATTGATGAATGTTGGCCCAACCAAGGATGGTATTATTTCTCCAATATTCGAAGAAAGATTACGTGGAATAGGTTCATTTATTTTTTTAGATTATTATGAAGTTAAGGTATTAAACGATATTGATATAATGATTTTGATTTAATAGGTTCTTGGTTGAAGGTAAATGGTGAAGCCATTTATAATACTAAACCTTGGAAGATACAGAATGATACATTAACCAGTGATATATGGTATACCCAAAGTAAAAATGAAAAGAGACTTTACGTATTAATTCTAGAATGGCCAAATGAAAGTACATTATCTTTGGGTTCTTTAAAAGTCCCTGGTAATACACGTATATCATTGCTTGGCTTTGCAAAACAATTTGATGTATGTATCATCGATTATTAATGTGAGAATATGTCTACAATGATGCATATTTTTCATTGTTATTATTTGTTTTATAGTGGAAGCAATACCCAACGAAATTAGTTGTGCATTTACCATGTGAAGCTCATAAAGGAGAACCAGCATGGGTATTAAGGGTCGAACAGGAATAAAAAGAAAACAAAGAAAACAAAAAAAAAAAAAGGAAAAACTATAATGCAAACTTGTCTTAATTATATTAATTTACAGAATACAATTAATTAAAAATTTTATATTTATTTTTTAGAAATTCCTATAGCTTCGGAGTTTCTCTTCACACAATAAAAATCTTTCATAAGAATAATAAATGTAATTGTAACTTTAAATGATATAACAAGTATCATAGTAATTAGTATGCAATGGCAAAGTTTTTATGATATTAATTGCACATTAAACGTTAGCAACTTCATAGAGATAAGCGCCCAACAATTTTGTCTGCAAAGAAATTATCAGGGTTTATTAAATTTCAGACAAACTGAATTTCCTTTTTTTTTTTAAATAATTACAAGAAGACATACACTCACCCCTTGAATGTAATTATATATATTTAACTTCTCATTTTGAGAATGAGCTCCATCATCACCAGCTCCAACAGGTAAGAGCAAAACATTTTTACCTGTGGTCTCTTGGAATGTAAGAGTAACAGGAATAGATCCACCCTCGCGAGAAAGATCAGGGTCGACATTATAAACGTGTTTAGTAGCAGTTCGTCCGGCTATATAATTCGGATGATCAGGATTTTCTGACCATGGTTTGCCTCCATGATTCATAATAACGTTAAATTTATTTGGACTTTTTCTGGCTTCCCATTTTGCTTTCAAATATTTAGTTACTTTTGCTACAGTTAACTCTGGCGTCATGTTTGGTACCAATCTAATTGAAAATTTTCCAATAACTTTTCTTGGAATAACAGTTTTTGCACCAGGTTCGCTAAAAGCACCTTCAATTCCATGAAGGGATAAACTTGGCTGTCTCCAACGATGCATCAAAAGTTGAATCTAATAAAAGAGAGGTAGGAACAAAATTCATAAGTTCAATAATTAATTTTTATCTAAATACTTTTCAATAGATTTTAGAAAGAAGATATATTTCTTTTTCTTCTCCTTTCTTTTGAAAATACCTTGTCCTCGTTATGAGGTAATGTAACTGCTCCACAAGAATCGCGAAGTTCATTCACGTCGAATTCAATAGTTTCATAACTATTTAATTCTTGAACAGTAATAGGAGCAACGTTATCGTAAATTTCATTTATCAATATTTTCCCATTGACGTCTACCAAAGTATTCATCAAATAAATGAGATCTGCCATTGCTTCATGTACAATACCACCAAATGTACCACTATGCAAATCTTTGCTTGCACATGTTACCTCAATTTGAAAATAACAAATTCCTCTTAATCCATATGTAATACAAGGTTTTGTAGTACCCAACCAATAGTTATCAGATATGCAAACATAATCTGTTCCTTTTAAGAAAGTATTCTTACGACTCCAAAGTAATTCATCCAATCCTTCGCTCCCACTTTCTTCCATACCTTCGAATACAAACTATAAACTCAAAATTAGTTTACGTTCAAATGAATTACTCTTATGAATTGAAAATACCTTTATATTAACTGGAATGTCTTCACCGATGGCTTTATAAGCTTGAAGTGCATGAAGCCAACACAAAACTGGTCCTTTATCATCCGTACTACCACGTCCATAAAGTTTATCATTTTTTTCGGTAAGGACAAAAGGCTCAGTATCCCATCCATCTTCTTTAAGCGCTGGCTGAACATCTAAATGTCCATATAAAAGTACAGTTTTCTTTTTAGGATTGGAACCAAGATTACCCAAGAGTACAGGTGGAAGTGGAATTTCAATATCATTTGGCAATTTTTGTACTCCTATATCTGCTAATTCCGTAGTAGCACCAAGTTCTTTTAATTTCTCTTCCATCCATTTTACCATTTTAATTATTTCATTTCTATGATCTGGCCATGCAGAGACAGATTTTATAGCAACTGCTTCTCGCAGATTATCAATATATTCTACCTTATGAGCGTCTATATATCTAGAAATAAATGTTGAAAAGAAAAAATGAGACATATACATATATATATATATATATATATATATATATATATATATATATTTTTTTTTTTTCTTCATTATTTAAAATAAAACTTAGCTTACCCAAACAACTTTGTTAATGTTTCAGGTAGAGCTTTCGCTTTTTGCTCCGTCATTTTAAAGAGTTGTAATGTCGAACTAACAACTGATAATTTTTTTTTTGTATTATATAACCAGAGAAAACATCAAAAGAATAAAAATGTATGATTTTAATACTATGATGTCAGAACATGACGAATTACAGTATCTTATCAATTTATTTACTGTTTCTCTTCTCTCATCAATTCATGTGATTTATAACCAACTATATTTTGTGTCACTTAAACTACCATCTGGCGGTAAGAGATACATACTAATTTCAAACATTAAAATTCTTCATCGAACATCTTATTATAACCTTTTACGACAACAACAATGAATACAAGACCTAATTCTCGAACAATTTTTATAAACAAGATCTCATTTTTAATATGAAGATTTATACGAGTACATGGCTTTCTTGAACTTTTCAAAAAGCCCTTTTATTTTCATTGAAAAAAATCGTGTTAAAAAATTATGCATCTTTTTGATAATATTTTAATAATAAAGCTTTTGCAATAATTCGAAAAAGCCATGTCCTTCCTTAAAATTTCGTCTGAATACGTATTAATTAAAATCGTTCGATAATTATACTCGTTGTCTCTTTTTTCTTTCTTTTTCTCCTTTTTCTAAAATATTTTTCACGAACAAAAAGTTTCATACAGTAGCGCTGAATAAAATTCTCGGAAAAAAATAAACAGCACCTAACCTTAATACTAATTGTTATGTTAATGTTTAAAAATAAATAACTGTATGCGTAAACCGATGCTCGAATATTCTGAATTATTTTAAACGCAATAAATTTCGTCGTGTTTGCATAGAAAAATCGTAGTAACTTGTAAACAGCTATTAGACAAATGATTCTATGATTAAAATAAACAAATAATTTGTAACAGTTCCATAATTAAAATAAACAAATGGAAATTCAATCGTTCAATATTAATCGATCTTAGAAATAATTTTATTATTATCTGAACGATATATAATTATATACGGAGAATGATTGATTATTAGATTTGCTTAAACGTTAGACAACGTAATATGTGTTAAATATAAAATAATTACAACGTAATATATCGATAAAATTAAATTCTGATCTTTGTGTCGTTGACAACGTATAACATTAATGAAAATGTACGGTCGATTGACTTCAATATTTATCGATTCATATTTCTTTTACATTCCGATGAATAATCATCAGATGATTTCATCTTTCATACGGCTAACCTTAAATAATTAATACTCTCTATTAATTTATGGATTATTTATTCAATATATAGTCTATGTAGAACGTAATATAAGCTAATATTTAAACGATAATATGTTTGTTTAAACATTACATATAGCTTGGGACATGGGTTAAATATAAAATAAATTTATTTTTTAATTTCAATACTTAAAAATTTTCAATTCTTTACCGTTAATTTCGTGCAATGTAAGAAAGAAACGATCTCTTAATTGACTTTAGTGGTTATCGAATTAATTTTCTTTTGTTTTTCGAAGTGTGAACGTTGGTGCTCTCTCTTCTCAATCGTGAAAATTTATAAATTAATATTTTCGATAATATTATAATGCATAAAGTGTACGTAGTAAATTATATTAAAATTTAAACAATAATACATTCGTTTAAGCATTATAAAGCTCGTAACACGCGATTAATAAATAATAATCTTTATTTGAAATTTCAATGCTTAAAAATTTTGAATTCGCAACCGTTAACTGTGTAATGTAAAAAAAGGAACGGTCTCTTAATTGACTTTAGTAGTTATCGAATTAGTTTTCTTTTGTTTTTCGAAGTGTGAACGTCGGTGCTCTCTCTTCTCAATCGTGAAAATTTATAAATTAATATTTTCGATAATATTATAATGCATAAAGTGTACGTAGTAAATTATATTAAAATTTAAACAATAATACATTCGTTTAAGCACTATAAAGCTCGTAATACGCGATTAATAAATAATAATCTTTATTTGAAATTTCAATGCTTAAAAATTTTGAATTCGCAACCGTTAACTGTGTAATGTAAAAAAAGGAACGGTCTCTTAATTGACTTTAGTGGTATCGAATTAGTTTTCTTTTGTTTTTCGAAGTGTGAACGTCGGTGCTCTCTCTTCTCAATCGTGAAAATTTATAAATTAATATTTTCGATAATATTATAATGCATAAAGTGTACGTAGTAAATTATATTAAAATTTAAACAATAATACATTCGTTTAAGCACTATAAAGCTCGTAACACGCGATTAATAAATAATAATCTTTATTTGAAATTTCAATGCTTAAAAATTTTGAATTCGCGACCGTTAACTGTGTAATGTAAAAAAAGGAACGGTTTCTTAAGTGATTGCAGTGGTTATTAAATTAGTTTTCTTGTGTTTTTTGAAGTGTGAACGTCTGTGCTCTCTCAGGATGTACCTCGTATGGAACGAAGATTTAAAGTAAATATATTTTTATATTTTATTTATTAGAATAATTTCTACAATTCTTTCTAACAAGGATATTACTAATAATTTTGTCTTTAATTTTCTGTTTCAGAACGTTATTGCAATTGTGCGGGATGCAATGATGAAATCGAGTGTTTTTTATCGTTAAAATAAAAATCAAAAAATTCGCGAAATAGAAGCAGTGATTTGTTTGTACGCGTTTCGCGATTTAAGAAACGAGTGAATTTGTCGATTGCGTGCAATGCATTCGTTAGAATCAGTGTTCGTTCGCAAAAGTTATTTTATTTTTTTAACAGTCGTACAGACTGTACTTATAAAAAAGAAATAAGAATTTATTTCGCGAATTAACTTCAGTGACCGCCCGTTAATAAATAAATATCGCGAATTAGAGTTGGTGTATCTCACTAAAGAGGATCTCAACCAACTTCGATGTCGACCTACCTCATTTTCAACCAACTACGTATCATCCAACCTCAATTTCGACCTAAATCGTGGACGAGTGTTTTGGAGCCATCGCAGAACTTCTTAAATTGGTATCGTTAATAAAAAAAGGTTCAAATTAATTTTTTACCTTTGTTATCTCTTTTCTTTAGGGATAATATTAATAGTAGTAATTCTTTTTTATCGACCTATGATAATTTATCGACCGAGGATACTCCTTTCGGAATTTTTATCGACGGTAGATTTTCGACTAATCTTAAGTGGTTCGTTCCGAGAGATGGCGTTTCGTCGAACGTCGATAATGTAACTTGACAATTTTTTATAGTAGAATAGGAGGAAAAAGAAAAACAGAATATATATACATATTTTTTTTTCTAAATAATAAATAATAACTATGATAATTATGATTTTAATTTAAACAAACGATTAAAAGTTTGTTGAATATAATTATACGGAATTTAAGCCGATTAACTTATTATTTGTGCAATTTGAAAAGCAAATATCTAAATTAAAAAGGCGTAGGGGGAAATTAAAAGAGGCAAAAAAACGAACACAAACATAAAAAAGAAAGAAAGAAAGCAAGCGTGAAACTGAGAATCGTCTTGAACGATGTTTAGAATTAATAACGATAAGGGTGTGGACACTAAAAGGAAAGGCGTCCATCGATGATGTAGACTTTTTGGAGAAGTGTAGAATATCTATCCTCTTCGATATGAACGAAAAGAGAAAGAGGAAAATAACGTTGAAAAGAAAGAAAGAAATAAAGAGAGAGAGAGAGAGAGAGAGAGAGAAGTAAAGGAGATTTTGAGCGTAGGAGGAGGTTGAACGAGGAGGAGGAGGAAGAGGAGGTGGGTAAAGATTTTGGCACCCTGCTGTGCCTCCTAATTGCCTCGCCTTCCTTACCTCGAATCCTCCGCGTCTTCAGCACGCCCTTGAACCCTATCGTGGCTCCACGTAAGGCCCTAAAAGCCTACCAAGTCCTCCTCCTTCTCCTCCTTCTCTTCTTCTTTCTCCTCTTTTTCCTCCTCCACCCTTTCTCTCTCTCTCTCTCTCTCTCTCTCTCTTTTACGTCCAGGACGCTGAATAAGCAACATCATCTATCACACTGCGCGAAACGATATATTTGTTTTTACTGGTTCTCTTTAATTATTTACAACCAGCCTCTGGGCGGAGCGGTCCTCTCTTTCTCATTTGTAGAAATTTTCTTTTTCCTCGAGGTACTTCCCCTTTTTTATAATTCGATCCAATTTTCCGCATTTTTTCTTCCTCTTCTTCTGAAAAAAAAAAACAGAAAAAAATGAAGGTAGACAATGAGTTCATTAGGCCCTGTTAGAACGAATTCTTTTTTCACTTTTTTTCAGTTCGATTAGATAAACACCAGATACTTTCGGAAGAAAAAAAAAAGAAAAAAGAACAGAAAACATAAGAAAAAAGAAATTATTTCACCTAAGTTGAATCTCGGAAAGAGAAAAGAAAAGTCGTTCGTATTTCGGAACGATGATACACATCATTTAACCCTTTCCCTAATGTTTTTCTCTTTTTTCTTTTTATATATATATATATATTTTTTTTTTTGCCATACGTGGAATGTCCGCGATGGTATTCATGATGAAACGCGATCTTGGTATTGGAACCACCATATAATGACTAGGAAGTCTGGAGGCGTGGTAATGAGGGCTGGCCTGGGGCCTCACTCTCTCTCTCTCTCTCTCTCTCTCTCTCTCTCTCTCTCTCTCTCTCTCTCTCTCTCTCTCTCTCTCTTTCTTTTTCTCTTGGGAGTCCCTCTTTCGTGAACTTCTTTTTCGTTTTTCCTCTTTCTCCATTTCCCTTTCTCAGTGTCTATCTACTATCTCTTTCTCTCCATGTCGGGGTTGATCGTGAGCCGCGGGGCCCACAGGAGAATCGTTCTGGGACCGTCTTTTCTAGCCGGTCTAGCTGGGTGATAAATTACGGTCGAGATATCGGCACCTCCTCCTGTCTATTCGCCAAGGTATATAACGCAACGTTTCTTCCTTCCAAACGTGCTCCTCTTCGAAAGGTTCGAAAGAATCCACCAACAACACAACCACCATCGCCACCATCACCACCCTCTCCCCCTCCCCGCCTTTCACTGTCTCACTCGACTTTCTTTCGTATTCTTTCTCTCTCTCTTTTTCTCTATGTTTCACTTTGTCTTCTTTGGCATTCTCATCTCTCGGACTATAGGGAGAGAAAGAGAGAGAGAGAGTTCACTCGAGATAACGATCTCGAAAATAATCGATCTTCCTATTGCGAATCGTCGCGATACTTTCTCTCTATTGTCCCAAGGAAACTTAAGAGTTTTTTTAAATATCAGCCAGTTTTGAATATGTTAGATT